TTAAATCCTCCTATCCCCAACCTTGCATCAGATATGCAATCTACTGTACAAGCACTTGTTATACCTCCTCCTGCATCCTCCTCATCTAAACGCTCTTTGTTTTTTGCTTCCAGATATAGCTTTCTTTGGAATAACCTGCCAATTTAAATTAGGTCCTTAACTAGACTGTCTGCTTTCAAGCGAAGACTGCACATTTATCTCAACATCGATTCTAGTAATCTTTTATTCTTTTCATCTTTTCCGAGCAGCTTTCTCCATGACTCCGAGAAAGAACCATCGGGAATTTAGGAGACCCTCTTGAAACTATTTTTCTCTGATTCGTGTCCCCCGGGAACCTAGATGTCTCTATTAACCACCGCTCAATCAAACGAAGCCACGTGGACGTACTCAGTCTAAACTGCTGCCGTTTCACTGGCTACTAACCATCATTAGAATTCCTACTCCTATTTCTACTCTACTACTTTTTCTTATCTTCCTAAGCAGTTTTTTTCTCTTACACGCTTTTTGAAATTGGAGGCCCGTTGAACACTGCCTCCATTTTCACTGTAAGAATTTTTTTAACTGCCCATATTTTTAAGTTCCCCATTAACTGCAAAACATTGCCACATATTGCCCTAAAAGAACAATTTTTGTTGACATTATTACAAATTTGTACGTTTATCTGCGCACATTGTCAAATTTGTTTTTTTTTTAATTTTTTTCTTACGAAACTAATTTTGTATCCGGCGCTAACAAATATAAAGGCCTACAAGTTTCTCTGGTAAGGATAGTTTGTACGCTCGAACCTCATTTATCGTTTGAGCAGTTATAATCATGCCTAAACAGGATAAGAAAATATATCCAGAACAGAACAGATCAAACTCGTTCGTCATCATGTATATGGACATGTTGTGTTATTCAAAGATCAAAAAATCTCATTGGTATCAAAAAATAAATGGGATCCGATGGGAAATGTGACAATGCCGAGGAAAAAAACGTGAGCAGTAGTCATCTTGATGACCGTTGTGCACACATCCGGCAGGTTGGTATACTATCCGCTAGAAAGCATCCCCATTTTCGACGGAAAACTGAAGTTTTTTCAAGTCAGACTCGAAGCTGTCGAGATCTGAACGGGTTGAAACAAGTTTCAAAAGCATCGGCAGCGGACACAGCCCCACTAACGAAGACAGACTGTTCCAATAGAGGCTGCTGGAGTCGGACCACTTTGCCCGAACTGCTTCGACCGCGGATGTCTCGCAAAGGTCGAGACTCTGCACTGACTTCTCCAGCATCTGCATTCTACAAATGAGAAGGCGGAACAATGGGACATATGATATGCTTTCAGACAAGAAGTTTACTAATGGTTTTATAAAGCTGACAAGTATTTAGCTCGTAAAAAATTCCGTCTCATGAACTAAAGGTTATGCCGGTTACACATCTGGTGTTTTGAGACTGCTAGCCACTGCTAACCCTAGCATGTGTGTTTAAAAAACCATTCCTGTGGGAAACGAGAAACGAACTTTATTGTAAATATTCGACGCTGGCACACCAGGTCGTCGTCAGACTTGAGAGAAATGTTTAAAGAACGTTGCGTATTTTTAAACGTGCCGAAAAATCGATAATGATTCTTCATCCGTGGTCAATAGTAGGCTCTGGTGGTTGGTACTTTTTCAAGGTCTTTTTGAGATTTATGTACACTGAATCCAAATCAACCTGCCTATTGATGCATGGTTCGTTAGAGTAAATGGCGTCCGGACCATTAACTTCTCGAAATGGGGGACAACTAAGGGTCCATGAGTCAGAAGCATTGGCATAGGAACCTGACCAAAATAAGCAACCGCGGCCTTTCCAATGGCGTTGATAAACAAGTTAGGTTGACAAAAGTGCAAGCGGCACCAGAAGGAGTGACGTAAAAAGGCACAAAAAGCCTTTATTTAATACACGCCCATCTAGACTGGTTATTACCAGAATTGGTTTAGCCGACGCAAATGTCCACAGCGTCGCGAACTGGTGTCACCTCAACTCGACCACCAAACCCCAGGTTCT